CACACACACACAAACACTATTTTTCTAATCAGATCAGGCAAGTAATATTCTGTCTTGTCTCTTAAAAAAACAATATATATATATTTATGTATATATATATATATATATATATGTGTGTGTGTGTGTGTGTTTGTGTGTGTATATATATAAATATAGCTGCGAGCAGCGATGAAAGGGCCAAAGCCGGCGGCACCGCCACCCCGGTTATAGCGCCACCAACTGGCAGCAGGAAGTCTGTCACTTTCAAAAAGCTTTGAAATCACCTGATTGCTTCAAACTTCACTACTATGATGTAAACACACGGCAGATGTAGACCTGGATGTAGACCTGACCTTTCAGAAGGTTGCTCTCGCATACTTTGTGGTTGATATGTGCCCTCAATGCACACTTTTGCAGAGCCCACACTGATACAAGCTCTACAGCACACTTCTTTTCGACAGTCAAAGCAGGGTTACGTTTTTGCACGTCGTGCACAATAACCCTAAAGGCACCAGGGTGGCGGTGCCACCGGCTTTATATATATATATATATATATATATATATATATATATATATAAATATAGCTGCGAGCAGCGATGAAGGGCCAAAGCCGGTGGTACCGCCACCCCGGTGCCTTTAGGTAACTAAAGGCACCGGGGTTGCGGTGCCACCGGCTTGGGCCCGTAATCGCTGCTCGCAGCTATATTTTTAAATTGTAATTATATTTCACAAATAAATATTACTGTTTTTACTGTATTTTTGATCAAATGAGCGCAGCCCTAGTGAGAGAGCAAAAGATACTTATTTAAAAAAAACATTACAACATTTTAATGACCGGTTTTCCGAAGTTTTGATCGCTAGTGTTGCCCCTTTCAGCGTTCTCCAAAAATCCAAGCAGGCCTAGTGGCCTACAAACCTACAAACCATATGATCTCTGCCTACAAACAAGTGCGAGTGGCAATGACCTCCAGAAGCCAGATGGCGCTCGCAGCGGGCGCTTATCCAGAGACGAGACACGCAGTCACTCAGCTGCGCCTCCTGGCACGCGCGAGCAATGACGTGGATTTTCACCCATTGCAAGTGCGAAATATTTGTGAACTCACTGCATTCAACTACACCACTGCAGTGTGTCTGGACTGTTTCTTACCGTCTGTAACAAGGTAATAACTTTCATTCATTACAAATAGACATAATATCATAAAGCTGCTGTTTTACGTCAACTTTACCAATGAAAACTCTCTTATTTTGCCCTTACCATCTAACTTAGCTGTCAAAACTTGCTTCCACGTGAATGCGTTAGTGGCATTGATTGCTGACCATACGTATATTTTTATTCATTGTACAGTGAGGAGCAGCACATCAACATGATTAAAGGCAAAGTTGAAAACATTAAAGACAAAATTGATGGCAATGAGCTTGATTTGAGTCTTAGTAACCTTACAGAAGTGCCAGTCAAGGAGCTGGTAAGTAGTTTAACTTTCCAATAATCATGAGTGTAACTACCTCCTTGATTTTTTTTTTTTAAAGGTTTAATCCTCCTCTTTATCTCAATTGTATTCATTCAGCATGTACGGGCAAAGTGTGTGACAATGAAAACTAAAATAATTGTTTTCTGTGCAGGCTGCCTTTCCGAAGGCAACGTTTTTGGATCTGTCCTGTAATAATCTAACGACCCTGACTGTAAGTAACTTCTGTAAATAAACAATAATACAAAAAAAAAAAACGCTGGATTTTCTGTAAATTGCGCTTTCTTTAATGAATTGCGCTGTTTTTGTTACCTCACCAGCCTGAATTCTGTAGCTTGACTCACCTTATCAAAATTGACCTGAGCAAAAACCAGCTCGTCTGCTTACCAGAAGAAATCGGACAACTCATTAATCTCCAGCACCTGGATTTATACAACAATAAACTGAAACAGCTTCCCGTCGGCTTCTCACAACTCAAGGTGCATTCGGAATGCCATGGCCTCAAACGTCCATTGTAATATTAGATCATGCCATTTACTGTCTTATGTTGTACTTATCAGTATCATTTGGTAATGGAGGAAATTTGTCTGTTGTAGAGTCTGAAATGGCTGGATCTGAAGGATAACCCATTGGAGTCAACACTGGCCAAGGCTGCAGGCGATTGCTTGGATGAGAAGCAATGCAAACAGTGTGCATCCAGGGTGAGTAAAGTGCTCAGATGCAAAAATGTTAGAGATCAGTATTTTACTGTATAAAACAAGCTTATTTACCACATAGTCAAAGTTTTGCAACAATTCCAAATGAACAAATTCACAAATTATTACGCATTACTACTATATTCACAAATTATTTGGTTTTGTCTATGTCCAGGTTCTCCAGCACATGAAGGTACTGCAGGAAGAAGCAGATAAGGAACGAGAACGTCGATTGTTAAAAGAGAGAGGTAGGGAGTCCAATACATCTACAGCTTTAAATGTATTTTGTAGTCTTTTTTTTCTTTCTTTCTCATTTTAATATTTCCCTCATTACAAATGATATTATAAGCATTCTAATTTGAGCACAACATTAAAGTCACCATGAAATCAAAATTTACCGTTCTTTTTTTAATGGAATATTACAGCATTTATTATAAATTATTTATCTGTGCCCATCTTTTTTTTAAATTCATGTGCTCTCATAATCTTTAATCAAAATGACTTCCCCTCCCTCTTGCAAGCAGCGACCTCTTTTCTTCTCTTCTCTAATGACGTGTTTACTGGTGCAAGGGCGGGACAACCTGTCACTCACATGAGATCACAGCAATAGCAAACCACAACCATCCAATCAATTCCCAATGGACAAAATCAAGTCCCACACTCATTTTTTTTCATGTTTGAGAACCCGTTTCACTCGGATATACATCACAATAGGGAAGAAAAGACTATCACAACTTCCATTTCATGGCGAATTTAGTTTAGAATTTTCTTTCCCCACTTGCCTTTCGTAGACATAATTTACTATCTATCTAAATATTTATTCCACATTTTACATAATAACTGCTCTTTGTTTTTAAAACATTTTATTTGTATACATTTTTTTTTATTAATGATGAAAATGATGTATTAAGTTTATAATTAGTTTTATTCCCTTACAGAACAAGAAATGAAAAAAGAAGCCAAGCAGAGGGAAAAGGAGGCCAGGGAAAGAGAAGCACAGAAAAAGAAAAAGGCAGAAGAGAAAGAGAGGAAGAGAAAGGAGTATCAAGCTCAGATGGCTGCACTTGCTGCACAAGAACAACAGAAAAAGAAGAAGGAAGAGAAGAAAAAGAGAGCTGCTCAAAATCAAGGTACAATTTATCTTGCATAGCATGAAACTCCATCACTTTACACCATATACTCACTACTTGATGTTCATAAATGCTGAAGCATTTTAATCTACTCTACTGTTCAAAAGTTTGGGGTCAGTAAGATTTTTGAAACAATTCTCTTATGCTCACCAAGGCTGCCAAAAAATACAGTAATATTGTGAAATATTATTATGTAATTTATTCATGTGATGGCAAAGCTGAATTTTCAGCATCATTAGTTCAGTCTTCAGTGTCACATGATCCTTTCAATATCCATTTTAATATGATGATTTGGTGCTCAAGAAACATTGCTCATTATTATTAATGTTTAAAACAGTTTTTATGGAAACCATGATACATTTATGATACAACCATGATACAATAATTGTATCCCGTAAAATTTTTAAAAAAATAATACTTTGATCACCAAAACATAAAAATAAAAAAATTCATGTGAAAAATAATATTTATGTCTTAAAATAGCTTCAATATAACTACACCCTTGCATCGTTTAGTATATGCAGAGCCATGAATATACAAATGAGCCCCGCCTCCACTCACTCATACTGGCTCATTTAGTCGATTTATCAGAGTGGTAGTGTGTTTTATGTATCGCTCTCTACTACATTGGACACGTAGCTGTAATTAATATATGATTTCAATTCAAACTGTTTTTGAGACTGTCTTTTTTTCCACAGCAGTTTTAATGAGAAAATACTCAGCAATGGTGTTGACTTATGAATTTGCACATGGTTTGTCTTAAAGCATATTAAAAAGCGCCACATTGACATACAAACATTAAAATCTTGATTTTAAATAGATTTTTTGTAACAATAAATGTCTTTACTGTCATTTTTGAACAATAATACTAATTTCTTTAAAAAATATCATACTAACCCCAAACATTTGAACCGTAGTGTTTGTACAGTAATGTTAATATAATGTTTGTTTGATGCTTTGATTGTACACTCTACACTACCTTCACTACAGGTAAAAAGACAGCGTCAGAGTCTGTGCCCAAAGCCAAGCGCTCCATCTGCTCCCTGTTCTTCTCTCTGCTCATAAAACTCCTCCTCCTGCTAATTGTGGGAGTATCAAGCGTATTAGCCGTTTGTCAGTTGACTGAACTGAGGAAGGAGGCGTTCTGTGTTCCACTCAACATTCACTTTGAGGAGACTGTGAGGTGGGCACAGGGTCTGGAGGTCGTGCAGCAGGTCATTCAGAAAATGTCTGATTTCAGAACATAAGACTGTCTCTGATAATGATCCATCTTGCTGCGGATCTGAGCCTTTCAGGCAACACAATGGGACCAAGTCACAGACCTGTCTGCAGAAATTCCTATGGAATTGTGTGTTTTTTTCTCCCCATCACTGCATCTTTTTAAAAACTGTAATAATCCATGTGATAACTATGGACCAGTCTGTGAATGGAAATCCTGCTTGTATGTCGTTAACTGCCAAAACAGCAAAGGAAAATTAAGTTAAGGACTTCAAGAAACAGTTGATGAATAATAATGTGTGCAACTTTTGGAGTCTTATGTAATACTGTTTCACAACATCTTATAATAAAAGATTTGAACGATTTTGATTAGCTCACACGTTTGCTGTCCCTGTGCTTCAGGTAGTAAAAGCAAAATCGAACCCAGCTCTCTATATTTAGGTAAGTGTTTGTTTTATCAGGACATTAGACTCATTTTGGAATCAGCTTTTTAAAGAAACATATCATTGAGGTCATACAACCAGTATCATTATTTATTAGAAGCATTAATGGACCACAAACTTGTTTTCAAGACTACTTTTGTTGCAAGGATGATAAATGTCATAAATTGACTACAAAACAAATAACTGACGTAAGATACAAACTGTTTCATAAGTATATAATCACAAAGAACTACAATAATATTATAAGCAACAAAAATATAACAAATATAAGTTATCTTTTTTTTCGACATCAATTATTTTTAAAACAACATGCGGTATGCAAATAATATGCAGATTAAAAGGTTTAGATTTGAGTTTACAGTATGCTTTTTTTGATTTCCATGCCTGAAGAGGTTAAAATCACAATACAATAATAACAATTACAATGATACAGTATTGAATGTGTCATCAATGACTTGAGTCATCACATTTAATTCTGAATTTAAAAAAATTCAGAAATATTTTGCCACAGTATAAGAATGCGATAAACATTAAAAGATGTCACCTACTAGAGGTACTTCAGCTTTCTTTGACACAATGAATGATTAATATTTCATATTGAGATGCACCGTAGGGCTTTTTTTCTTTACATAGAGCCTTCTACAAATCTTTAACCATATTTCTATTTCAAGGCTGTATATTATTCACAGAGATAATGGTGTGAATGTTGCCTGTCTACTGTCGCGGGCCTTCCCATACTCCCTCTGCAGCATGAAGTCCATGTTTCCAAACACATGCTTCTGTAAAGCCTCGTTCACAGTGACCCCAAGAGTGACCTCCTGAAAGACTTCACTGACGGAGAGCTGCAGAGACCAAAAATAAATGCAATATTAGAGAATTAGTTAAGGTATCAAATTAACTATATACTGTATATATATAGTTTCAAATATATAATTCAAAATGTAATTTATTCCTGTGATGACAAAGATTAATTTTTAGCTGTACTCCAGTCTTCAGGTGTCATAATCCTACATGTATAGGGAGTTGAATAATTCCTAAATTTAGTCCATTCATTCTCACCTCTCGGAAGTGGAATTTCTTGAACATGGCGATGCTTATTTTGTTATCCAAACCAATCTTGACTTCAAACTTTCGAATTCCAAGTTTATGGATACCTGTTGAGGCAAATCACACACAAAAAAAAAACCACTGTACATATATAGAGCAGTTACTACTACTACTACTAATAATAACAATAGATTTTTATCAGCTTCATCCTACCATAGCACATCATCATACGTGTTACTTCTTTCCCAAGTCCCTTTCCTCTGTAGCAGGGCACTAAAAATGACTTAATGTTACTTAAAGATCACAGTCAATCTAAATGTATTAAAAGCATTGCAACCTTTATAACCTGCAATCATAATCTCCAGTTCAGCCAGGGAAGGATCGCTGGGGTCAGTGAGGAAAATGTTGACATCTCCCACCATGCACTCTTGCTCCGGTATACTCGGATCTGCCCATTTCTGCTTATCCAAAATGATGAAGGTGCACTCTGTGAGAAAAAAAAATGCATTTGAATGAAAATAGAAACATATAAGGGGTAATACTGACAAACTGCTTGAATGTCAACAGGACACTAACAGGAAAAATGTGCATGTGTAAGGTGGAAGCTCACTGTCATCATCTTCTCTCCAGTCTCTCTGCATGTCATACTCCTGCTCCAGTGTCAGAGGCTCAGATGCAGTCAGCTTCTGCAGTTCAGGAGAGCACATCCACTGATGATACCTGAAAATACGGGGAAGATTAGGTTAGAATGAACTGACACTACAACCACCAGACACGAGATCACATACTGGATCCACTAATAAATACCTGGGAACATGATCTGTATTGTAAGGTACCAATACAACATTTCCCCCCTCCAGTAATGTATCTTCATTTATCCTCATTATAAGCAGCCTGTAACATAAAGTGTTTTAAGGCACATAACTTAGTATTCTATATAGCAGTTTAGCATTTTTGTTATCGTCATACCATAGACAGTAAAAGATAATACCTCAGATTCAAACTCGAATACAGTATGGTCGCTCAAATAATGTCCATCAGTTTAATTTACGTACACATTCAACGAGCCATAATACACTAAAAAGATGGTATCACAACATTACGAGTTTCAATGATTTCAACTCACATAAACAGCGGCGCATATGAACTACGTCATCAGCATGAGATGAAACCATAGACTGTAAAAAAAAAAATCTATTTAAAGTCCACGTTTTTATTCTGAAACACGAGAGGGCGCACGATTACAGCTTTTCGCTTAAGTTTACGTGCTATCGGAATTATCATAAATACTAGTTTCCTAGTTAAAAAATTACACACGAATGCCCTTTCAAATCAAAATTTGAATGCGACAAGCTCGTAATCACGACTTCAGAAGTGGGAAGTAGAACATTTCTGATAGTACGTGAAAGCAGCATTAATTCAGATTTTGTAATGTGTAATTAAATATATTTCATATAATACATTTTTTGTCTTAAAAAATTAAAGACAAAAATCGTCTTAAATTAAGAGAATGAATTGCCCCCCATGTAGGCTAATCACATAACGTTCCCCACAAAGTAGGCTATAAACCTTTTTTTACAGTCTATGCTATAAATACAATTCAATGGACAAAAAAAATTGTCTTAGAAATGGTAATGATTTTAAACTGGTTTCCCCCCCTGTGTTCTCAATATCACGTTTTCATCTTTGTAAATGCAATTCTTAATGACATCATTATCCAGGAAGTGACATAATTTTGGAGGGAAAACAGTAGCACTAGAAACTATTGGAAATGTATTTTGTGCTCTTTTGTGCTTTTTGTTGGTTGTCTTACTTTACAGTATCTCATCTTGGGAAAATCACAGAAATAGGGTGATATCAGAATGTCAAAAGATTGTTGAAGACATATGTCCCAATCAACAGACATGTTTTATTTTGATACAGAAAATTCAGTGAACAAATTTGATTAGTGCAATATTAATTCATGATGTTCAAATGACAGATGTAATTCCAGTTTATCATGCTCTCTGGATTCTATTATTCGTATCATATTTGAGTTAAGTTGCAACTTTTTTTGGACCAAATTGTGTAGCTCTACACAAAAAGGAAAGTTCTGTCATAGTTTTCTCTCCCTGATGTTGCTCTCATGCTTTTATTGAGTTATTATTTTGATGCCATTTTCCCATAAGGGAAAGAGAACTAAACGAGGAAAAAAATATTTAAAAAGTGTGCTATTTTTAAGTTATACGGCTGTTTTTAGATCTCGCATTTTCAGTCACTGTTGATGTAACAGATGTTTGTGTACAATTTATTTTTCTATATTGTGGTGCAAACAGCATTTCTGATTAACCTGAAGAAGTTTTTGCCATATAGACGTCATTGGTTCTTGCGTGACGTCATTATAAATGCAGCAGATTTGAATGTATATTGTATGCCTTTAAATGAGAATTATCAGAGAATGTCTAATGGGCTATATGCACGCATAACTTCCGTGTTTGACGCAAGGATGCTCGTGCGTTTCCGGTTGGGGAGATTTAAAGCGGAGGAAAACCGAGGAAAACGGTATTATGGCAGACTCAGGCAGAGTCTTCAAAATTTACTGTCCTCTCGTCTTTGAAACGAAACTTTAATACGTTTAGATGTAATTTTATATATAGTTATGTTTATTTAATATAATAAACACAGAAGCATAAACAAAATGAGGAGTGTCTGTTTTGTCTGTTTTTGTGACTAACGTTTCTTTAGTATAGCAATAGAGTATAAAAACCAATATAAACTCTCGGTATAGCATTGGACTCTACGATCGGCGGAAGTAATCCAGCATCCTTAGACCTTCACCGGAAATACCGCCGTGCATAGATCCCATTGAAGAGAATTGGCGGGGGGGCGATCCAAGATGGCAGCCGGTGCGGTCGCAATTTCATGCAGCTGATTAAATTTTACTTACCATCCCCTTTATTTTAACTTTATTTAAACCCGAACTCATCATATCGTTCGATTATGCATTAGGCCTTTTTCTGATTTGTTTTAGCGGTGTAACATATTACTTAAGTTAGTTTAATATCCTCAAGTTGCCGTTTGTTAACTGAACTCCTTAACGCACATGGAAACCAAGGATAGCACGATGAAACGCAAAGGAAAAAACAAAAATTCTACCTCCAAGTCACTTACGGAAGAGATGGAGTTAGATGTTCCTGTCGCTGTTGGTGGGTCTGCTGCTGGTGGGTCTGCTGCACACATCGAGGTAGACCATCAATATGGCCAAAAACGTACCGATGTCACTCGGTCTGAAAGTCCAAGTCTCGAGATCGTACAAGACTCCGACCTAGATACGCCTGTGAAACCCCAACAAAAGAAATATCGAGGTGAGATTTCTCTGACGGAGTTGCAAGATAATGTCATTGCGGCATTGACATCCAGGATCAAAGAAAGTGCAAACGACCTCGGCAAGTTGATTACCAGCAATACGGTGAGCATTGAGGGCCTTAAGAAATCACTTGACTTTGTGTTTGAAGAAGTAAACGTTTTAAAAACAGACTTGAAAAGTTGCAAAACTACCGCCAATTTGAACAGCACCAAAATCCACGAACTTGAACAAAGACTGAATGATGCCGAACGCTATCAGCGGAGATGGAACCTCCGTCTGTACGGTATTCCGGAACATTCTGAGGAAAACATCATGTCAAAAGTCATCGGCGTCTGTGTCTCAGTTGTTCCCGACTCAAACGTCTCTTTCAAAGATGACATAGATGTTGTACATCGACTGGGAAGGCTGAATGAGCAGGCCAATAGACCAAGACCAGTGATCATTCGCTTCGTGAGAAGATCTATGCGGGACCTGATCTGGCGGCAGGCCAAGCATTCGGAATATTTGAGGAGTCACAAGCTGAGATTCACCGAAGATTTGTCTCAAGCAGACAAGTCATTGAGGATGGAGAGGTGGCCTTTGATTGAAGCTGCTAGGAAGGAAGGGAAACGAGCGTTCTTTGTCGGTGTGCGCGTTTTCATTGACGGGAAAGAAGTGCAGTCACCCTCGTGAATTCAAGTGATTTTCATCTTGCGTCATGTGAACACTTTCTTCTGACCTGTTCTATGCCAACTTGTAAGTTTATGCTATTGTTTATTACTTGCCTAATGCAAGTTAATTGTGGGTTAATGTTATCAGTTACATTTATAGTTTAATAACCGGGCTCATTCTTATTTTATTTCAGTTCGAAGGGGATGGAAGTTTTTCTAATATTGTTCTTGTTCCTTTTGTTCATCATATATTCATGTCATTTTCGTTAGTTACACTTAATGTCAGGGGTTTAAGGTTTAATGTTAAACGTAAAGAAGTTCATTCAACTCCCAAAGATATAAATTTCTGGAAAGCTCAATGGGGTAATGATGTTTGGTTTGCTCATGGGTCTGAGCGTACAGCTGGTGTTGCAATTTTAAAAAACAAATTTTCTGGGGATATTTTATTTTCTGAAGGGGATCCCCTTGGTCATTTCATTATTTTAGTTACTAAACTCTGGTGACTACAATTATTATAAATTTCTATGGGTACAATTCTAAAATTGAAAATGATGCTTTAAAGGGGCATTATGCAGAAATCCCGTTTTTGTCAAACAGCGACCCCTAGAGTTACTGTGGAGTACTTGAATTTAACGTTACTGTCGTAAATACCACTCACTCAGAGCGTGACATGCCTGTTACATAGTATACAATAGTACATTGTGTTTAATTTGTCATTTAATGAGATATAATATATGTTGTTAGTGGTGAGAATTTTCAAGTGATTAAATACATAGATCCGACAATTTTAATGGTCCAGAGGCAGAACTTTTGCCAAGTGTGTTAGAGGTTCTGGGTTCTAATCGGTACTAGCTAGTAGTATAGTTTATTTTCCTCATCAAAACCGATTGTTTATTAGTGGTTGTATTTCAAGCAGGGACATGTTTTTTGTGCATTAGGTTTTGTGATTTCACCATAACAAAATATAGAGAGTCTCTCAGTCCCCGCAACGGATTCAGGCGTGCGTCACAACAGAACACCTATCTGCACCACTGATCGCAGAGGCAACGAGCACTTTGGTCACTTGATTTCAAAAATAACACATTTCAGATCGCCTCTTATTTAACAAACGAACGAAATGAATGCTCTACTAGAGTTACCTGGAGATGTTTTATTTGTTTGAAATGGTAACGTTACATCCGTGCCGCGAGAAGTTTCAATGGGGACATAGCACACCCGCAAATTATGCCTATGCTCGTGTCCGACTCCTCGCTCGGTCAGTCTGCCGTTTCCTCTTTCTCTGTTCCTCCGACAATGCTTTCCTAGCTTTCTGCATCTTATATGCCGGCTCAGCCATGACGATAGTGTGACAAACTCCATCCATCTATACCTTGTTCCTGTGTGTATGTGTGCAGTTGCCGTAAAGGAATATGTTACATCGCGAGAGCTGATATCACGCGATACTTCCTGACGCGGCCCGCCGCACCGAAGTTGCAAGTGAGATTTTTTCGCTCACAGGCACCAGGGGGGGTCGAGACGCCCACCATTCAACCCGAAAGAAGTTATATAACCATTTCAATAACTCTGAAGCTGTTCAGTTAAGCTAAAAAAGCTGCATAGTGTCCCTTTAATCAAAAAATTAGAGAGTCAAATTACACACTGTTTATCTAAATTCCCAAATTCACTTATTTTAATAGGAGGAGATTTTAATATCACTTTAGACAACTCCCTTGACCGATGGCCACCTCGTAGTGTAAATTATCATAACTCCACACTGAAGGCCTTTATGCAGAAATTTGGAGTTATAGACATTTGGAGAGAGAAATTCCCTGGTATTAGTTCTTTCACGTGGAAGAATAAGGCTTGTACCGTTATGTCTCGTATAGACTACTGGTTAACTCCATGCAATTTACATAAAGAAGATATCTCTGTTAATATTCTTCCCACGCCATTAACAGATCATAAGGCAGTGTCTATCAACATTTCTTTACATTCCTCTCCTTCCTCCAACAACTACCATAACTCTTATTGGAAGCTCAATAAGTCATTATTGGAACATGAATTTGTAAAGATGACCATTCGCAGTTTGATTGCACAATATTGGAATATAGCTAAGATTAGTAATAACTATTGCACTAATTGGGAGTTATTTAAATTTGAAGCTTGTAAATTTCTTAGAAAATTTGGCAGTTTATTATCTA